CTATAATTTGTTCAGATTTATTATTAACTCATTTTTTATTTTTTTTTGAGTTTCCTTCCTTTCTATTACAAAGGCCTTATATATAAAATATCATTATTTGTAATATATTTAAACTTTATATATTACTAATTTTATATTTAAATATTATTTATTTACAAAAAAATCGTTAAAAAATTTGTATATATTTAATAATATAATTATTAAACTAAAGTTTTATTTAAATAATAATTTTATAATATATTATATAATGTATTTAAAAAAAAAAAGGTAAATTTTTTCATCATTTCAATATGATATATTACATTTAAGCAAAATTATATAATGCTAATAAAATTAAAAAATATGTAATATTTAACATAAAGTATAAAGAATAGATTATTTGCAACTAAAAATTTTTAAGTTTCAGAATAAATATAAAAAATGAAGAAAGAAAAGGGTGTAATACAGGTAGGTTACAATAATAAGATAAAGATACTATACAATACAATGAATAAATTATTTTTTAAAATTATATAATTTTATATTATAATTAAAATTCAATTTCATAAAAATTATTATTATTTAAAAAATAAATTTTTATACTTAATATATTAAAATTTGAAAAAAAATTTTATAAAATATTTTAAAAATTTTATTATATTAAATAATTATTAAATTAATTTTTTAAAATTAAAAAATAAATTAAAAGTATTAATAATAAAATTTTTTAGTTTTATATTATATTAAAAATTATTCTAATTGTTTTCTTAAAAAATATAATATATAACAACTAAAATTATTAAATAATCTAAAATTTTAATTGACGATTATTATATTATTTTATCACATATATCAAATTTATTAGATACTAAAGAATAGAAACTGTTGATATGTCTAAAACATCATAAATCATATGATCGAACAAATCATTACTGGCATTCTAATTACGTACACTTATGTCACTCAGCCAAATTTGGCTTATTCAATTCAAAAAAAAAAAAAAATATAATGTTAATATGTCATTGATATTTAAAACTATAAATTAACTAACACGACTTAATTATTTTTAATGTGAAAGATCGAGTTAAAGCTATTACCTTCTTTTTTTTTTTAAAAAAAAAAAAAAATTTAAATTTGATCCTTTCTTTAATATTTCAGTTGTTTGAATTTACTTTACCTCAATTAAAGATGACAAAACCAGAAAATCCTGAAGAATTTCGTAATCGAGTTAAACGATTACTTGAAGCTTTTGTATATGATCATTTGAAAAAAACTGGGTGTACTGATACCGCTAAAACTTATTTCGAAGAAATTGGTCTTGACGATTGGCCTCCTGAATGGTTAAATTTGAACATGGGCACGAATGTCGGAGATGTTATCGAAACACAGGAAAGTTCAATGGATCATGAAAGCGTTGAAAGGAGTAAAGACAAAGGAAAGCGCGCTAAGGATGAGAATGAAATCGAGGAACATGAACATACAGAGCTTGCAGAAGATGGTACACTCAAAGGTATCTAACAATATTGAATTTGTAATGTTTAAAAAAAGAATAAAGAATATGGCTAAAATAATGATATTGTTTATACTTGGATATATCATATGTTGCTAATAAATTGACATCTGGATATTTTCCAACAACGTCACCAGTCGATGAGTCTCCTAATATACCATTACCTTTGGACGTTCCAGACGGATTCCTCAACGAATGGTGGTTAACCTTCTGGAATTCTTATAATGATTTGCGTGAACGTGATTCGAGCATTCTTCATGGCAGCAAGAATCCATAAATAAAGTCAAAATTTCGCGTATTACATAATACTATTTAGTAAGCAATTTGCAACATTAATGCTATCTTTAAATAATTATGATTTTATAAAAAATAAATTAATATCGAATTTGAAAGTTAATTTCATTTATTTTTTTATTTTTGTTGTCTTATTTCTTTTTAACGATAATTTGCTATCATTCATGATAAACATAATTTTCACAATACGGAATCCCAAGTAACAAGTAAATAAAGTAAAATAAAATTTATAAATATTATTCAGAATCTTTGTCGTAAAAATATTTGAACGTCACATACAGAATAAGTAAAAAGAAAAAAAAATCTTTTTCTTGAAAGGACACATTTTTATTTAAATTCATAAATTCTACAATACTGATTCTATTATTACATTCTAACTTATAACTCTTTAAAAAATTATGTGAAATAAATTTTTTTTTTTTTTTAAAAAAATGATAATTTTCTAACATTATTTATTCCATTCATCTTGATAAAGTTTAAATATGATGTACGTACATGTATTTTCTTTGAAATTATTCTTTAAATAGCTTATTACTTTTTATTTTTGGACAAGGGAATAATTTGGATTTACAGAGTTGAGAATAAATATAAGTTCTATGGAATTTCATTCCAATGAAACGATGAAGTAATGTTGGGATCGGGATTTAAATGATTGCTTTATGTAAATCAATATAAATATGTATTTAATCAAAAGTCACAAAATTAATTAATTATTTACTTTTTTGTCTTATCGCAAAAAAGCGGATTTCCGCTTCTGGAATATCAAATCATCATCAAGATTCTCAACATATTCTCACATGTAATTTGTACAAATCCTAAATATCGGAATTTTTAATAATTTCAAACCAGAATTGAAATATGAACTTTATAAGGGTTATTACGGTATTTTGATCAATAAAGTTTTAGGTAGAGATTCACACTCCGATATTTAATTAGTCATTAAATATAAGTGATTTAAAGTAAGAACTTTACACTATGTAAATGATGCGGCTTTATCCATAAAGAAAGTGATTATATATATTTTATCTGACCCTTCGAAACAATTCAACTGGGTCGTCCTCTTTCTGATAATGCGAAAAAAAAATACTCCACTTATTTAAACCAGATATGAAAATGCATTATCGTATAAACATAAATTAAGTGCATAAATTACTCAAGAAACCTAGAAATCAACCATTTATAATTTAAAATGGACTCTCCGCGGCAGTCATGAGACAAACGTTGGATCCCGTCTAAAATGTGACGATAAATCGGGGTAAAATACATTCCCATTTTTGTTTAAGGGGTGGGGGAAATTGTCAGAAGATCGGTTTCCGAAATTTTTATATCATAATTATAAATTTTGGATGATTGTTGAGATTTTCGTTGTAGATGGCCGTGATTTTGGAGATAATCTCCCGATTTTAAAAAAAAGAGAATGAAAAGAAAAAAAGGTAGTAAGGATTCCTTGTATCAGAAAAAAAATAAAAATTTTGGCACACGTTTGGTATACGATGCCAAATTAAGGTTGATTTTAGTAAGGAGCTTTGTGGCTACTGCGGATAACGAAATTTCATATATATACAACGATGGTAGAATGCTCTCGTCTTCTTTATTCACTTATTTTCTTGAGGAAAATAATACTGATCAAGTCGTTTTTTTTTTTTTATCCCATCACCCCTTTTTTTTTTTTTGACAAAAAAATAACTTTACGCAAGAATGAAGTCCTTTAATGAGAAGAAAGGTCATAGTATGACTCCAAAGTATAAATCAAATATGAAACGAATAGAGAGAGAGAAACGTATCTTCTTAAAAGAATTTTCTTCAAAATACGGATATAATGGTAAAATCGATCAAATCCGTGAAAAGGAATATCCACAATTGAACACTTGTGTATACCTTGATCATACGGGATCAACCGTTTTTGCGAAAAGTACTGTAAAGAATTTTATGGAAGACTTAATGAATAATCTTTATGGTAATCCCCATTCGAATTCACCTAGCTCACAAGCAAGTTCAATGAGAATCGCAGGAGTTCGAAAGAGAGTCCTTAAATTCTTTGGTACGAATGAGAAAGATTATTCAATAATTTTCACTCAAAATGCCACTGCATCCGCCAAATTGGTCGGAGAAATGTTCCCTTGGACGAAAAGGAGTTGTTACAAATATTTAAGAGAATCTCATAACAGTATCAATGGTTTGAGGAGATTCCCCGAACAGATTGACGCCGACTTTCAATCTGTATCGGAAGATGAGGTGAATTCCATGATTAAAAATCGAAACTTTTTCGAAAATTATGATAAGTATGATGAGAAAAAAGAAGAAGAAAAAGTGACATATAACCTTTTCGCGTATCCGGCGCAATGTAATTTCTCTGGGATGAAATTTCCTTTGAACTGGAGTCAAAAACTCAGAGAATTAAATACGGAAACTTCAAAAACTCTGGTCTTGTTAGATGCGGCAGCTTACGTTCCAACGTCTAAACTTTCTTTGGCTAATAAAGACGCATCGCCAGATTTTGTCATACTTAGTTTTTACAAGATATTCGGATTCCCAACTGGATTAGGAGCTTTGATCGTAAAGAATGAATTGTCGCCAATTTTAAAGAAGGGGTACTTTGGCGGTGGCACACGTAAGTGGATTTTTTTTTTTTTTCTTTTTTTTTAAAAAAAAAAAAAAATTTATAATTAACCGGAAAATAACATTTTTTTTTTAGTTAGGACGATCATTCATAATGTACCATGGCAAACATTTAGCAACGACATGGTTGTACGCTACGAAGATGGCACAGTAAATTTCCAAAACATCATCGCATTAGATCATGCATTGGATTCGATGGAAAAATTGTTTAAAGATTATAAATATATATCAAATCATGTGCAATGCTTAATAACATTTCTTAGTCGATCCATGAGATCGCTTCGTCATTGGAATGGAGAACCCGTTATTTCGGTGAATTCTGACAGAGATTTTTCGGATAATAAACAACAAGGTGGTGTTTTCAGTTTTAACACAACGCGATCAGATGGTGAAGAGATTGGGTATCTCGAAGTTGAAAGGTTGGCAAGTTTGAATAACATTCACATTAGATCCGGTGGTCTTTGCAATCCTGGTAGTATATCAAGATGGAATGGTATCGACGTTGAAGATGCCATTCAACATTTTGTGGTAGAGACATGCATTTAATTTTTATTTGCTTATATTTTGTTTTGAATTTCATCTTTAACAAACTTTTTTATTTTATTTTTTTTTTTAGCACGGTAAAGTTTGTGGTGATGAAAATGATATATTCAATGGGAAAAAATATGGCGCGGTTCGTTTATCCATAGGCGCAATGACGACTATTGAAGATGTTTTAATATGGTTGGACTTTTTTAGGAAGTACTATGTTGAAAAGAAACCTAAAACCAAGAAATTTCTCATGTAGGTGATTGGACCTAGTGTCATTTTCATTACAGATATTACAGATATACAGATTTATTTTTTTGAATATATACTATAATATAATATAATATAATGATGATAATAAAAAATAATAACTAAATAAATAAATGAATGAATGAATGAATAAATAAATTAATTACATGAATAATTAAATAAAATCGTAATGTCCTTTATTAAAATTAAAAGAAGGGGGAAAGAAGAAATTTAAAAGCAGAAATGATTTATTTTTTCTATATAAAATTTATGTGCGCGAAAAAAAAAAAGGTATTATTTTTTTCTATCTGTTACAGAATTTATGTACGCGAAAAAAAAAAAAAAAAAAAAAAAAAAAAAAAAAAGAGTTCAATTGACCAAGTCATTGCCAGCTTTTAAACAACATGTTTAAGTCTATCATTTTCATCGTTTGAATCATCAGCCAATATTTGTAATTCATCATTATTAAATCCAAAGGTTTCCTCCTTTCCTTTACGTTTATCATGCTGCTTCGAGGAACCGTTGGTATTTGTCCCTCCAACCGAAGATCTGTTTGGTTCATCCGGTTTGATGATGAGAATGTTTCTATTGTTCAAATCATTTTGTTTTATACTTTGATACCCGTCTCCCCTATTATTGAACCTTTGATATTCTTCATCGATGCCATCATCATTGAACAAATCGATCAGATACTCCCTTGGAATGCACATGGTGATGCCGGTCACCAAAATACCCAAAAACATTAACCACATGCATATTAAATTTGCCAACCGAATTTGACACACGGTTCGTAATTTTGGATCTTTATAATCATAATTTGACGGACAATAGAATGGGATGTCCCCTAATTCGTTGATCGTGTAAATCGTGTATACGACTAACAAAGGAAGTTTAGGTATTGTTAACAACGTTTTTATTCAAGGTAAACAAAAAAAAGATGAAACCCACTTACTTGGAATGTTTAACCACAAGACGGTCGCAAAACTAAATAAAAGATCGAGATAAAATTAATAAATGGTTAATCATGTTTAAAATCAATGACTCGATGGGATCAAACATTATTCTTACCCGAATTCCTTGCTCAAATCTTCTCTAGCACAGAAGCAGCAGCAGCAACAAACGACCAAGGCTAACACTGTAATGAATCTTTATTTTAGTTGGGATTTTCGCTGCGCCACGACGAAACCGTGTCATGTTACACGGCCACCACTTGAAAAAAATATATATATTACTTACAAAGTTGAAAGCATGTAAGACCGATATACCTTTAAGAAAAAAAATAAAGAGAAGATTGATATTAAAAAAAAAATTCCATTGATTTATCAACTGACGCAATCTTCACTTACGTATATTCAACATATCGATTATACGGAATGTCAAACTCATTAAAAGATTTTAATTTGAAATATTCTAGAATCAATTTGAAGCGAAATTAATCTTGTTTCTTGGGGGTATCCTTCAATCAGCGATCCAAAAAAAAAAAAAAAAAAAAAAAGAGAGGTATTCATACCAAGTGTAGGACAAATAACAATTAAAGGAAGTTCAGCAAACATTAAGCAAAAAACGCAACTCAGTATGGGACATGCTAAAATCCTTTTTAACGACATTTTATTTTTTTTAATTATATCCTAAAAAAAAAATTGTTGACAATTTGAGAAATGAAAGGCATAAAACGATAAGAAGTTTAAATATGCAAATGGACACAGACTTGAACTAAATTATCGTGAAGATCTTAGATAATGCAATTTTTAATCAATGATCAAATAAAGCTTAGTTTCATTTGCGCCAAATATCAAATCTTTCCATAATCGGTCATGTTCGACCTGATACATAATAAACGTGATTACATGCATCACACTTATTTGGTAAGAACACTATCTTTTTTTTTTGTAAAGTAACAAGATCGCTATCAGCTATTACCTTTATGGTAAGGGTTAAAAAAATATTAGATCAAATACTCCGAAAAAAAGTTCCTTTTTAAAAAGATGCAGCGAGGATGTTGCTTTATTCTCTTATTTTGAAAGATTGCAGCATAAAAATAATCACGCGTGCTGTCAAATTGGTGATCATGTCTCTTGACAATGGAACCCAAATTGTCTTAATTTATGTAGTAAAATTTGACTAAATTCAGGAAAGGAGCAATATACAAAAGGAAGTTCTTCTCAAGCCACACCTTCAAGTTGTTTCCCTTCTTTCTCTTCACCTTCCCAACTTTTATTATGAGCATTATCAGATTGATCATTATTTTGAAACCCCAGCCATTCATCTAATTTATGATCAGGAATGTTATCTCGTATGGCCAAACACAATGAAATGGAAAACATCAACCACATACAGATCAAATTAGAAAGATTGATTATGCAAACGTTATAATATTTTTTTGAAGGGTATGGATAATTTGCCGGGCATAAAATGGAATTGGGACCCAAATCATTATATGCAAAATAAGTATATATGGCTATAGGTATAAGAAATGTTGTGTGATTATTTAAGAATTGGGCGTTGAATGTGAGCATTTAAAGAAAAAACTTACATGGAATTATTAACCATAGTAATGTTGAAATCCTTTGTCGTTGAAAAATAATGAGGAAGTTAATAATAAATGTTCTGAACGATCCATGATCTAGATGATAAAAAATCTAACCTGGACTGCCATCTTATTATCCCAAGATTTTTCAAACGAACATATATACACGCAAGTAAACATGACGAAACTATAGTCATTAATAAAAAATCAAAGGAAATTTATTCTTTATAAAAAAAATTATTGTTCCTCAAAAACAAAAAAAAAAAATCTTGCCATTTACCAAATTGACAAAGGGTGAGAGCAAGATAGATGAGTTCCATAACCCAATTAAGGGGAAGATCATATTTAAGCAGCAAAAAAATTTTCATAGATTCTAAGGACAAACATGATAAATATTTGTTAAATCTGCTAAATCATTTCATTCTTGTTTATATATATTTTTTTTTTGTTTAAATAAGAAATTTAAATATCTTGTTACCAAATATAGCACAAATGATGATTAAAGGAGTTTGAACCAAACACATAAAACACATAAAACACATGAACAAACGTGCCGTGATAGTTTTCAACATTTCTTCAACATGTTAATAAAAGTAAGAAAAAAAAAATTTTTTTTTTTTTCCTACTTTATTTCCCGGACGCCACAATTTATTATGTAATTGAAATAATTTTTGATAACACGTGGCATACATACATGAATATAGTACCACAAAACAAAATTTAATCCTGGACATGTCGTTTTATACTTTTCTTCTTTCGTCATCCTCATCCTCTTTATGAGTTATTAATTCAGGAAGCACTGTCCAAATCCACGCAACCAATATGGAAATCGAAGTTATCCACATGATTGCCAAATTCGCCGTTCTTATTTGACATACAGTACGAAGTTGAGAAAATTTATAATCATAATCCATTGGGCAGAAGAATGGAATCGAACCCAATTCATGAATTGTTCGGGCTACATAGATAGCTATTGCACGTGTAATAAAGGTTTATAAATTTCAAAGGAAAAAAAACACAAACAAGAGAATGCTTACTAGGGATAATTATCCATAATGCCCCAAAGACGCTAAATAGCGACACACAAATATATATCAGACTCAACCAGGAAAAAAGATTATTTTTTTTTTTAAAATCATGAAGTTAATTAAATACCTGATTTGACAGTTTATTAATGTTTTACTTTCAATGCAACAACAGAAGCTGCAAATCAAGGTCAACGAAACTATTTTAAAGAAAAAAATGTTACATAACAATAAATATAATATATTAATATATGAATTTTTTTTTTTTTTTAAAAAAAAAAAAAAAAAAATTAAAAACGTATTAATCTTATTATCTCATACCAAATTGAAGAAAGATAAGGAAAAAATACCTAATAATAATTAATAATAATAATAATAAATCAAAGTTTTTTGTTGTGTAATAAATAGAAAAGTTAATACTCACATGTATTCAATGGTCGTATTAAGAGGAATATGGTATTTACGATACGTTGCGATCTTTATATTTTCTGAAAGAATTGAAAGGAAATATTATACTCATATCATGGAAGTCTCTTTTAAAGTATTAAAGTTTATTTTTATTTTTATTTTTTTTTTTTTACCAAGGATTGGACAAATAATGAATAATGAATATTGTAATAAACAAAAGAAAGACCAATGAGAAAAACTTTCTTGAATGAAATTGTTATTCGTTCTTTTTTTGGATCCCATTATTGTCATTTATCCTAGGATGATAGGAAAGAAGACTTTAAGACATGATCCAATTTTATTTATAAAATAAAGTCATTGATATGATTCGTTTATGATTGGCGACAGCTTTCAGATTTTAGCCACATTATAGATGAAATTCACATGCTTTTATTTTCCATAAGCCCACTTGCAATAAATATTATAATGACGAAGCTTTATATTTATAAAGAATGGTTTTCCCTCCTCTTATGATTTATGGAATGATTTTTCCTGCAAGTTATAGGCGGCTTGCGATTTATGGTAATCGACATGAATAAATACGAAGAAGAAGTGGTATTGTTAATTAGCAAGTTCAATAAAATAATAAAAATATGACTTCCTAATAAAAACGTGTAATTTCTTCCCTTGAAAATGAAGGTTCTGAACGGATTTTTAAAAGGTTATTCTGAAATGTCCGATCTGAAACTGATCAGAACCAAAATTCGATATTTACTTTTATTTGTAATAATAAAAAAAAAAAAAAAAAGAAGAAAAAAAATGCTATTCTACTTTAAATTTAAGCTCTTCTTCCTCTAGTTTCAATAGGTAACATAAATATGAAGGCTGCTAATAAGCCAAAAACAAAAGAAGTCACATATAAAGGTGCGGTAACACCAATCGAAATTAAGTTCCCGGTAACGATAGGAGAAATCATACCGGTTCTGTAAGTAAACAAAAAAAAAAAAAAAAAAAAAAAAAGTTAAAAATACAATTTAATTTTGATGACATCGCATCGTTTATCGTCGTTTCTTACATTCTAGCAAAAACAGAAGAAATTCCACAAGCGGTTCCCCTAACTTTAGTATCAAAAACCTCGGGCGTATAACAATAAATCACGGCCCAATTAATAGATTTTAAACATCCAATGATCATGGAAAATAAGATTATGCCAGTAGGATCATGAAAATTAGCAAATAAACATATTGATATAGAAGTTCCGATCGCACCTAAAATCATGGTACCTTTTCTACCCAAGGTAGTTTCAACCAAGTAAGAAGACATTATTGCACCGAGAATTCCCCATGCTGAATAAATTATAAAATTTTTCAATCCATCTCTAATTATTTCACTACCATCATTATTACCTTTATCTCCCAACTTATTTTCTTCTAAACCTTCAAGGTACTTTGGTAGATAAAGAATAAACATTAAACTAGCAAACGACAATAATCCCCACGAGCTCCATACAATTAATGTCGTAGTCAACAATTTTTTACTGAACAAACGTTCTATATCTTTAAATTTTGAAACAAATTTTTGTCTAAAATGTAATAGCATGTGACTGGATTTACAAATCTTGGTATCCGATGAAAGAAGTGAAATCTGATTGGAGAATAATGAATCATCAAGTTGAATTTCGAGTTCATTTTCATTTCCATTAATTCTTGCAATTTCTTTATACACATGAATTGCTTCCTGTTGTCGGTTTTGCGAGATTAAAAATTTTGGCGATTCTAAAAGTCTAAAGAACAGAATTCTAAGAATAAACATGACTAGTATCTAGAAACAAAAATGAAAAGCATGAGTTCAAAGATAATTCATTTGATTTAGGAAAAAAAAAAAAAATAAATCTTACGCATATCCCGAGTACCACGATTACGTATCTCCAACCATTATTTTCTTTAGAGACATCACAGGCTGCTATTTTGACTTCATCTCCAAGACAACTGTTTGAAGGTAAGATTAGATATCCAATAAAAGATGCAAATACGGCTCCAATTTCGAAAAAGACTGACGAAAATGTAAGAAGATATTGTTTCTCTTTTGGTACAAATTCCAAAAATATCGCTCCTAATCGATTAATAAATATCACGAATAAGAAAGGATTTCAACGGATATTCTTACGTGAATAATGGAAAAGGTTTATTGTATATACCATCTACTGGTAAATTTCCTCCAACGCCAAAGCCCAACATGGCAAACATAAAACATAATTGACCAAAACTTTGAGATAAACTTGCGCAAAAACCAAAGAATACTGTTACTCCCAAAGTCCAACTAAAGGCCT